AATATCCAACCTAGACCTCCCCCACTGCAACTTGAGACCATTGCTCCTTGTTGTGTCATCTGCCACATCACTGCACACAAAAATTACCAGATTGCTGTGCAAATGCAGACACTTACCCAGTTTGTTTCTGTTTTTAAGAAGCACTCTGATTATGTGCACAAATTAGGGATGCATTTGCAACACTAATGTGCCTGAAAATTTAGCTCTGCATGGCACATTGTTCACTTTCTGAAAGGGATGTAAAAAATTCTGTAAGTAATTTTTTCAAGACCTTGACTTATTTAAATAAACTAAGGAAAATAAATAGAATTAAACAAAAGCAAATATGGAAAATTGCAACATCTCATTTTCAAAAGACCCCTGCAGCAAGAAGCAAAAGGTTCCTCAGAAATGCACTGAATTGGGGCTAACAATAGACAAAGAGTAAAATTTGCAAAAGCACATAGGTGCCCAAGTGACATTTCAAAAATGACTTTGGCATGAGGCTCCTACATCACTTAGATGCTTTTGAAAATGTTACCCAAAATTCTAAAGAATGAGGCTGAAATAAAGGAATCCTTTATCATAATTAGACTATAAAGCTGATTTAGACTAACAACTAAAATACAACCAGTTGTTCAGGTTCACCAGTATGTCCTTGGTGTCTGATCCTGCACACATTTAAATCTAGTAAAACTCCCATTGCCTTCAGTGGGGTAAGATTGGGGCTTTGTTGTTTTATGGTGGCAAAGTGGCTGAAAGCAGGCAGAATGTGCCAGTGGCTCACAACCCAGAGCTATGAAGAAAATCTTTATATTCTTAACTATATTCATAATTAATATGAACAATAAAAGCCTCATCCAGGGGAGGAATTACTCTGTTTCCATAAACTGCATTTTTTTTAGTGGTATGGAGGGAGAACCCTCCATGACTTGTTCTGAACTGCTATTGCATGAAGTCTTCATTGTTTCTAAGAGGCGCTTCACATTTGCTGAAACCCAAGATCAAAAGCGCATAATGCCGAGAGCTCAGTTGATTCCTGGATTCTGCTAAGCCTGGTGGTGAGTCCATTCCTCTCCTGGCAGTTTTTTGATATTTAGAGCAACATAGATGCTGTAAACGACCATATGTTCAGCAATGTGTGCGCCAGGTTAAGGAAGAGAATTTCTTCTGCAGCTTACAGTAACTGATGTGAAACTGTCCTGCAACACACCACTGCAGGGTAGGAGCAGAGCAGTGGCTGGAGGCTGCAACTGCTCTCCATAGGTGGCGCAGCAGATCCATGTAATTCACAGAACTCCTGGCCATGCCTCTAGCCCACTCCCATCACACTCCCTGTATGAAGTGCACTGCAGCAGGCCTTAGGACCTCGGCCCGCGCTGCTTCCTGCAGCCCCCATTGGCCTGGAGCGGCGAACCGCGGCCAGTGGGAGCCGCCATCGGCCGAACCTGCGAACACGGCAGGTAAACAAACCGGCCCGGCTCGCCAGGGGCTTTCCCTGAACAACCGGTGGCCCTAGTTTGAGAACCACTGATGTAGTTCACAGCAGTCCATGGATTTTCCCACTATGTCCCTTGCATCCTCTTCCCTTCAGCAGAATCACAGTGCTATCCTGACATGAGTCTACCAGTCAAAACGTACAGTAACTCCTCACTTAACGTTGTAGTTATGTTCCTGAAAAATGCAACTTTAAGTGAAACGATGTTAAGCCAATCCAATTTCCCCATAAGAATTAATGTAAATGCGGGGGTAAGGTTCCAGGGAAAATTTTTTTTGCCGTACAGTACAGTACCATAGTTGGGAGGTGCCCCCGCCTTACCCCACACAGGCACAGCCCACTGGCACTGGAGACAGTGAGGCTGGCAAGGAGGCTGAAGGTGCTGTAGGCTAGGAGAAGCACATTGCGCAGCAGCAGCGGCAGCTTCCCCTACTCTGCAAGCACCAGGGGCGGGTGGCTCAACCCTCGGCCCACCCACGCCACCCCTTCTCCCAAGCCCCCACCCTTAACCTGCCTCTTCTTCCCCCCCTTTCCTCCCTTTACTCTACATGCCATGTCCTCGCTCCTCTCCCATCCCTCCCCTGCCTCCTGCCCGCGGTGTTTGGGGAGCGGGGAAGAGCGAGGACTCAGCGCACAGACTCCCCCTCCCTCCCCTGCCTCCTGAACGTCGCAAGCCAACTGATTGCCATGGGTAGGAGGCGGGGCGGGGGAGGTGCACTGCGTCCTCCTCCTCCCCCCTCCCTCCTGCCCGCGGCAGTCAGCTGGCTTGCGGCGTTCAGGGGAGAGTGGGGAGGAGCGAGGACTCGGCGCGCAGGCTCCCCCCCTCTCCCCTGCCTCCTGCCCGGGCAATCAGCTGGCTTGTGGCATTCAGGAGGCAGGGAAGGGAGGGGGAGCCCGCGCACCGAGTCTTCGCTCCTCCCCCCGCCCCCAAACACCGCAAGTCAGCTGATTGTACTTCATTCTCTTTCCCTCCATCCCGTTCTTTCCCCTTCCTCTCTTTTTCAGTCTTGTTTGTGTCTCACCTCCCGACCAGGTCTGGCTTTCATTTCTCTTCTCCGTCAGTCCTCTCCTTTCTTCGCTCATCTGCATCAAAGCTGTTTCAGGGAGATTTAAATTACACCATGCTGCCCCAACTCAACCCCTGGTGCTGTACCCCTCACGGGTTTTTCATCATCGGCAGCATTGGTTGTTCATCGAATGAGCACATTGCTTGGCTGCCCTCACCACGTCCCCTTTCTTGTTAGGCCTACTGAATTTTAGGGCTGCACTGGTCCCCTGTGGCCAGCCTGGGAGAGGAGACACTGCAGCTGAGTTTATGCTGGCAAAAATCTTCTAGCCCAAGTCCTGCAAGATTGAGTGACTGGGTGCAGAACCTGGCTGTACTGCATGAGAACCCATTCTCCTTACACAGAAAAAGGAAGTCTCCTACCCAATGTGCATGTGAATGGCTGTCTTTCCCTCAATCATGGCCTCCAAGACTGGATCTGGAGCAGCACCAACCCTATTACCTCAGCAGAAAGACATTTGTACTTCCTGCCTCAGGGTAGCTGGACAGCATTTGATGCTGGGAGGAAATAAGACATAATATGATGCTGATAACTTAAAGTAACCAACTGTTTGGATTTTTCTGTGGGATAAGTGGGCGGTGATTTGAAGTAACAACAATTTACCATTGAAATAGTATTTTAAAGTGTGTTTGTTTAAAAGGTCAAAATGAAACGGCATGCTGGGATATGGCTGAAGAAGTGGACAGAGTGGAAGGTAACCTAAATGCAGAGGATTCATGGCCACATGGACGTCACAAGTAATGGATCTTCCCTCCTCAGAAAGGTAATACAAAGGCTTGGAATCACAGTTGGATTCCCAATGCACTGCCGCACAGAGTTTTTATCTCAGGGTTATACGGAATTTCTAATCCATTCTGGAATTTCTCAGGGGGCTTTTAAAAAAAGACAGAGGCTTGCTCCTTTATGTATCTCAGGAATAAAACTCAGCAGTCCCCTTGCAAAGCAAGCTGGGATAGCCGTAGAAGAGGCAGGTTGGCCGGGCAGCATTTGCAGCACCCTCCGTCGGTATTTAGCTGTGCTATGCAATGTTCAGGATGTGTGTCCCTCCTCCTCCGTTTGACCCCACCCATGTTTTATTTTGTCGGTGTCTGGTGCATGCATTGGTGTTATTTTCCGTATTATGTCGTATGTTTAAAAACATACAATATCTTTGTGTTTGTTCTTTTTTCTCTTCCCCTTTTGTTTCCCTTTGTTCCTCTTTTCTTTCCACTATCTCCATATCTTGGTTTAACTTTTCTTCCCTCTTTTTCTGTTTTGTCCCACAATTTTATTTTTCTGCAGTATATTTTTTTCTTGTACTTCATTCTCTCTCTCTCTCCATCCTGTTATTTCCCCTTCCTCTCTTTTTCAGTCTTGTTTACTATCTTGCCTCCCCATCAACCCTTGCTTTTTTCTCTCTTCTCTTCTCCATCAGTCCTTCTTTCTCTCTTCTTCACTCATCCACATCATTTATACCACTTCCCCCCCGCTATATGGCTCAGACTCTATTTCTTACTCCCTGGTTCACACAATGCACTGTGCATCCTCTCTCTCCCCGCCCCCCCCCCACACACATACACTGCTTTCTCCAGGTACACTTGGGACAGGAGTTTGTTCTCCCCACAGATAAAGAGGGTGGAACTTTTCGAAGCTCACACATCTGGGAGACTACAATAAATACCTGATCAAAGAAGGGAACACCTTGGATCCTTTTCTAGTTATGTTATTCTTACTCGTTGTGTTTTCTGTTTGTGCATTAGTTGTGCATAATGTTAGCTGGAGATTCTACAAGCTAGAGATCCTGTTTTGTAACCACCTCTCATTACTCCAAGAATAGTTGCCTCTCATGGATACATGGGGCAAAGTCTTCTTTCAGTTCCATCCTCATTGACTTGGCTGCAGTTGCACCAGGGTAAAAAAGAGCCCAATCTGGTCCATGATTAGATGGCGTAGTGGGATGGCGTTGGTAGCTGGACTCAATGGGTAGTGAAAAAACACTTTCAACCAGAAGTTGATTTTAAGAAAGATTTTAGTTTGGGAGTTATTGTTATTTATTGGGTGCTGGTAGTCTGTTTGGAGCTGCACGAATCACAGAACTTGTCTTCATTTGGATAAAAGGTGTTTTTTAACATATTAGCTGGGGCTGTCAAGTGATTAAGAAAATTAATTGCGATTTATTGTGCAATTAAAAAAAATTGTGATTAATTGTGCAATTAATTGCATTGTTAAACAATAGCAGAATACCATTTATTTAATATTTTTGGATGTTTTCTACGTTTTCAAATATATTAATTTCATTTACAACACAGAATACAAAGTGTACAGTGCTCACTTTATTTTTGATTACAAATATTTGCACTGTAAAAAAAAAAGAAACCTGTATATTTCAATTCACCTAATACAAGTACTGTAGTGCAAGCTCTTTATAGTGAAAGTTGAACTTACAAATGTAGAATTATGTACAAAAAAACTGCATTCAAAAATAAAACAATGTAAAATTTTAGAACCTACAAGTCCACTCACTCCTATTTCAGGTTCAGCCAATCGCTCAGACAAACAAGTTTGGTTACAATTTGCAGGAGATAATGCTGCTCACGTCTTTTTTACAATGTCACCTGAAAGTGAGAACAAGCGTTCACATGGCACTATTGTAGCCGGCATTGCAAGATATTTACGTTCCAGATGTGCTAAAGTTTCATATGTCCCTTCATGCTTCAACCACCGTTCCAGAGGACATGCCTCCATGCTGATGACGGATTCTGCTTGATAATGATCCAAAGTAGAGTGGACCAACGCATATTCATTTTCATCATCTGAGTCCGACACCACCAGCAGAAGGTTGATTTTTTTGGTGGTTCCTGTTCTATAGTTTCCGCATCAAAGTGTTGCTCTTTTTAGACTTCTGAAAGCACTCTCCACACTTCGTCCCTCTCACATTTTCGAAGGGACTTCAGATTCTTAAACCGTGGGTCGAGTGCTGTATCTATCCTTAAAAATCTTGCATTGGTACCGTCTTTGCGTTTTGTGAAATCTGCTGTGAAAGTGTTCTTAAAACGAACATGCGCTGGGTCGTCATCTGAAACTGCTATAACATGAAATACATGGCAGAATGCTTGTAAAACAGAACAGGAGACAGACAATTCTCCCCCAAGGAGTTCAGTCACAAATTTAATTAATTCATTGTGTTGGGTTTTTTGTTTTTCTTTTGTTTTTTTAATGAGCATCATCAGCATGGAAGCATGTCCTCTGGAATGGTGGCCGAAGTATGAAGGGGTATATGAATGTTTAGCATATCTGGCACATAAATACCTTGCAACGTCGGCTACAAAAGTGCCATGCGAACGCCTGCTCTCACTTTCAGGTGACACTGTAAATAAGAAGCAGTCAGGAGTGTCTCCTGTAAATATAAGCAAACTTGGTTTGTCTTTGCAATTGGCTGAACTAGAAGTAGGACTGAGTGGACTTGTAGGCTCTAAAGTTTTATGTTGTTTTGGTTTTGAGTGCAGTTATGTAACAAAAAAATCTACATTTGTAAGTTACACTTTGACGATAAAGAGATTGCACTACAGTACTTGTATGAGCGAATTGAAAAATACTATTTCTTTTGTTTATCATTTTTATAGTGCAAATATTTGTAATAAAAATAATATAAAGTGAGCAGTGCATACTTTGTATTCTGTGTTGTAATAGAAATCAATATATTTGAAAATGTAGAAAAACATCAAAAAATATTTAATAAATTTAAATTGGTATTCTATTGTTTAACAGTGCGATTAATTGCGATTAGGTTTTTTAATCGCAGTAAATTTTTTTGAGTTAATCGTGTGAGTTAACTGCGATTAATCAACAGCCCTAATATTAGCTAAAACATGTTAGCTTGTTTGTTAAAATTCTAGTGTAGACAAGGCAGTTTCAGTTGAGAGCCGGTCTACACTACCACTTACGTCAATCTTACTTACATCGCTCAGGGGTGTGAAAAAGATTCCCCCCCCGCCCCCCCCCCCAACGCAACTCAAGTGACACCAATCTAAGCGCTGTCCACACTGCTGCTATGTTAGCAGGAGATGCTCTCCTGCCGGCACAGAGCATCTTCACATGCTGCATGCTACAGCAGTGCAGCTGAGCTGATGTAGTGCTTCTAGTGTAGACCTGACCTTCGTTGATTGAGATAAACCCTATGAGGGAGCCTAGGGTTGATAGCACATACTAAATGCAAATTGCCTTGTCTACACAAAAGGTTTACAATGTGTTAGCTAACATATGTTGAAAACACATCTTTTTCTCCTGTTGTGGACATAGCTATAGATGAAGAGAAAGAGCCCCTATGCCCAGTAATTTACAAGCTAAATTAGACCAACAGTACCTTCAGACTCAAAGTACCCTTGCATAGCTAAAAGACAGTCTAGTCTTAAAACAGAGCCCATCCCTGTCTCTGTACTCTGGTGCACCATGGTCACAGTTTTGCTCCTGGTGAAACCAAATACAAAACCGCCACTGATTTAAATGGGAACAGGATTGAGCCCTGTTGCTTTGGTGCATTAGCATTGGTAGGCATTACAAAAGAAGTTTGTTTTAAGGAACAATTTGAATGATGAGAGGTCAATCCTTTAGCATGCACTTGAGCAGGATCAGTCCTCGCTGCTCAGTGCTAGGGGAATCAGTGCTGTTTGCTTGGTGTCTTTGTCCAAGGACTAGGCCACAGTGTAGAGAAAGGATGGGAAAAGTAGACTGGGAAAAATAAGAACCTCTTTTGCCTGGCACCTTCATCCTCTTTTAGAATCAATCTGGCAATTCCTGTGTTCCTATAGCAATGGACTTGCTGGAAATCCTACAAGAACACTAATTACCTGCCCAGCGTTGAAACCACATTTGGGACTGATTCACCACTACATTGCTGCAGTTTTAGATTAGAGCTATTCCTTCAGTTAATATGATGGAATTATCCTGGCAAAAAACTGGAGTAGTGAAGTGCTGCATCAGGCCCAAGAAGGTAAGGTTCAGAGAAATGTGAATTCTTGGAGAGGGGGCTCATCGGAAACAAACCTTTTAATTGTTTGGAGATACACGCGTCACTAATACCAACAATGGAGAAAGCAGAAAAACAAAGAATCTCTCACAGCTTGTATCAGTTAAGTGAACCCTATTTTATGTGTGTAAGAGTTGGCAGCTTCAGTTTGGCAGGTGTCTGTGCGTGTGCAGAAACATGCAGATGTGCATTTAATTACGATTTCCATAGAAGAGAAACCATCTCTAAGGGCATGTCTGCACTGCTAATTAAGGTGTAATAGTCGTAGAACTGTGCCTATTTTCACTTGCACCTTAATTTGCAGCGGAGACATACCTACCCTAGCTTTAGTCTAGACGTGATGGCACAGGTTTGAGCATGGGCTAGCCACCCCTGTTCAAGCCTGCAGGGGACTCTGGGTATGTACTCAGGTTGCTAGCCTATGCTGAAAGCCATGCTGCCACATCTTTACTGCTGTGGTTACTCATGTTAGCTAAATTAAAGCTAGTGTGGGTATGCCTACCTCTGTTACAGTCACACCTTAATTTGCAGTGTAGACATACCCTAGGAGCTTGTAAGAAATTGCACAGAAAAAATGGCCATAGTCCTTTTTAGCATCAACGGAGCTATGTTTATAGTCACAGCCGTAACAACTGGCTGGAATACTCTTGCTGTCTCTTCACAGTGTTTTATCCCTGGGTGTTTATGGCAGAGCATTGTTGGAGGGCAGAGGGAGGCCCAGGTTATGAAATTGACTTTTGCAGAGCCAGAGTTTTGCA